TAAACTTAGGACTCGTAGTCATGAACAAACGCTAGCTATTTAGACACATGACCCTGTATCTGTTGTATTTGCGCTCGCTGTTGATGTCGACCACCATTTCACTAGGGACGGTACAGAAGTGGTCGGTTTGGCAACCACCGAAAAGGCACCCGAAATTCCTTGAAGCTTGGCACTCCGGTGCGGACAGCATTAACCACATGTTAACCTAGATGCCCAATACGAGGGTCTCCGATATCGGTCGACTGACTGGCGCCCACTCAAAGAACAACAACAGCTAATGCTTGCCCTGACATGCATGATATCGTCGACAGGCCATTACTATCTACCTGCGCTCTCGCCCACACCCCAAACACTGTGAGCCATAACCGATACCCGCAACACCTACACTCACCTCCGGCACCCACAACAACACGATGCCAACTCCTCTCGCAAGGTTGTCTGCTTATCTCTTTGTCTGCGGCCTCAACCAGCAGTTTGACAATCCTACCTCTCACTATCCACTTTGTGTGATGACGGGTTGGTGCAACCAGCTCACAAATTTACGAGCAAAAGTCTTTACTTCTGACGGACATCCTCCTTCTATCATATGTATATCCTTACAACCGTCCGAAAAATTGGTATAGGCTGCGCCAGTCCACTCCCAGTATAAACTTATTCATTTAAGTCAATGCGCCTGCTTCCCCCTAATGCGGAGTACATGGTTGACATTGTCGAATGCAATGATCGAAATATCAGCTAGCCTAGAATATCTGATTGCGCACTTATATGGAAACACTGATAAGCGGATCATGTAATCATGGTATCCGCTCACACATGGTATGAAGGACGCGTACTTGTCTGAAACGAACTTGCAGTTCTGGGGGACATCTAAACAGAGAAGATGTCAAGACTCTTTCGTTAACTTAACACGTCTTGTTAAACATTGCCAACCCGGTTAACTAAGTTTACTTTGGTTGATATGTTTTAAAACACGAGAAGGCATGCATCTAACAAACGCTCACTGTACACAATCGTTTTCAAAGTAATTGACTATTTTAAATAAAAATTTATTAGACTGCCTGCGCTTGTTGAAGATGATAAGCTTCCAGGATTTTCGCGCTTAGGGGCATCTTAAAAAACCAAAATTATTTAGGGGCGCAGAAGGCTGTACGTGGAGAAGGAAGCGGCCTAACTACATAGGTTTCATTTAAGCTACATTTCATGAAACGTTGTGGTAGGTATAAAATTTTAGGTATTAAAAGACTAATATAAAAAGACGGGAGTTCAGATGCGTAGAAAACACGCCTAAGATGCTCTCAAAGTGGTTACTTCAAGTTTTATTGAGAGCACTAGTGCGCCTTACCATTAACAGGGCTGTCGATGGACTTTTGGGATAAATGGCACACTCGCACCGTCTGCGTCCAGGCCGACAGCAGCAATACCCAGAATATAATTATCATAGTGTTGACAGACAGTATCAAAATGTGCCGCTGTATTTAAACAGTTGCTAACAAGACTACAGGGGTCATTTGACGTTCCAAATTGAATCGATGTGTGTGATGAAAGGTCCTGTTAAAGGCCACGCGTATGGTCTGCATATGTTGGAATAAAAACTAGCTTAAGATGTCAGACGGTTTAACGTGTATGTCTAACCTCAAAAATAGCGGCGTAGTTCTTAGATCTCTAAAGTCTTTAGTTGGGGATATTTCTACAAACACGTGATTGCAATCATATAGCTTACATTTATTAGGTGAAAATCTAGTTAAAAGAGTATTTCGGAAAATTATTTGATGAATTTGTTAAAAGTTATATAATATGAACGATGTCCTAATGGTATTTGTTTTCTCCTGGTTATGACGGACGCATTCAGTCTCAAATATAACACAAGCTATTCGAAGGGCACAGCTATCACCAAGCAATTTGAGGCATCAGTTTAGCAGGAATATTTCTATCCTTTAGAGGAAATATAAATGAACTAACTTTGTCACTCTCTGAGTTGGATTTGAATAGAAATTAGGTAAAATCGAAATGGTCACTGCAAAAGTGTCGCCGTAAACATATATACAGTGAGTGGCCGATCTCTTGAGACGTTGATCAAAATTCTGAAATGCGTTTTCGACTAGTAATGATTACCTTGGTCGGGTTGTATTATTGATTGTTCCGCGGCATGTTCCTACAGTATTTCTGGCTTGACATTATGTTGGCTTTTGAATGCATTTCTTGACAAGCTCTTTCAAAAAGCGTACTGGGCAAAAAATAACTACTTAAGTTGAATGCATTCTCCCCTCTGATGTTCGATAGTATTATAAATCCAAGCATATTTTTTTTAGAAACACGACCATAGATATTTTTTTCCTCACCCGTTTAAAAGAGAATCACCTCATCTTCGTATTTTATACTCGAGAAAAGAGTGCAATTAGATTTTGAAACAATTTTTAATTATAAGCTTTTAAGGACCGTGCAATTTCCATTCATAAGCTCTCGTGCCTATCCGTTTACCACTGCTTCTCCTAAAATTTACGACATAGTGCGCATTCATCGCAAAATTATTCGGAGTCAGTATGGCATCATTTTGAGGAAAGACAAGGCAATGTGCTTTTCCTTACGCAGAAAACATGCGCCCTGTAATGTGAAAACACTAGACGTTAACCCAACGGCTGATCAAGCTCCAAATAATTCGGGAATTAGAAAACTGGTTTGAAACCTAGTTATAGTCAATCTTCAAGTATAAAATAGGACGATGACGTTATCCGCTATACAACGAGTAAAATAAAAAATATTTTTTATGCCTATTTTTAAAAATACATTTGAATTTACAAGACCATCAAAAAACAGTGAAAAAACATGCCGCTTAAGTAATAATTTTTTTGCCGAATACGATTTCTACTGGAGGTTGAAAAAACTACATTTAAAAGCCAACATCATGCTGAGTTAGAAATATTATAGGATTATGCCGCGGGATAATAAATTTTGCGAACTGACCTAATTAGTCCTTCCTAACCAAAAACTCATTTCAAAAAGTTTGGCCAATATTTCAAGAGATCAGTCACTTACTGTATATATGAGAAGAACAAGAGACGATCCCAGGAACCATAGTTGCATGGCCTTGACGTTTCAAAAGCAAATGAGCTTTAACGTCGGAAGTGAGCGCTAAAACGCGTCTCACATTAGTTATTGGTCATGATGGTCGGTTTCCACAATGTAGTTGACTTCGCTGGAGTTACAAAGAATCCGGCGGATGACGTTCGCGGTTTTAGGTCGTGGAAGGGGGTCTTAGATCTCGTTAACAGTTGTCAAATAATACGTCATTTTCTGTCAAATTAGCAGTAAAATGAATTCATTTATGCATGTCTTTAGCGAAATATCATTACAGTTTAAGGGTCTCGAAAATCCATAAATTTCTTCTGCTAAATAAGTTGCCATTTTTTATAGAATACTATTTTTATAGGCAGCCAAAGGTAAGACCATTCCATAGCTGACATTTCGAGGTAACTGGATTGTTATAGGCCTATGCTGTATTATGATAAGTTCTACAACCCTACTTAATAAATCTTCTCGAAATGAAAACGCATCTCGGAATTTCGGTTTACATTCCACGAGTTAGTTCACTTACAGTTTATATAGATATATATGCGAATTGGAAAACAGACATCCCAAGAAATTTAGCTATTTAAGTAAAGTTCATTGGGAAACGGAGAATTCTCAAAACTGGTTACCCAACACATCTTCAGAAAACGGGCGTGAAAAAACAATCGACTTCTTATCAGTGGTTATATGATTGACTAAATTCATCTTCTCGGAATTGGTTGGACCAGTTTGAATCTGTCCTTAACGATTTTCTATGTGACATCCAAATCGATATGTCGGTTGATGCATAACTCATCTGAGTCTACTGCTTCCAGGAATTCACGGCGTCAAAATGCGCGTGTTCTCTCATGCAAATCTATGTTCACTGTCCAGTGTATGCTTAGGTACTTGGGATATATGACCTTGTCTTTCGCCGCTAAGTGATGATTATGTAGACGGGTTGAGACAGACTTCCCCGTCTGGCTACAGTAGACGGCATCGTAACTAGTACTTGGGATCTTCTAGACAACACCTTTTTACCTAGATAGTCAACCATGTCCCTAGGGATTCAAAGCCATGTGCCTAAGGTAGTTGTCGAAAGACAATTAATAAAATCCTAGATACACGTAGCAAACCAGCCGTCAACTACCTTACGCCCGCAACTTGTACAGCAGGTGCATCAGGTATAGTTTTCCAAACGGCAAAACAATTCCAGCCCATTTAAACATAGAAATCACTGTCTGCTTTATTAATGAACTAAAGGGTACCAGATCGCACAGATATTCTAATATGACTTTTAAGCATTAATAAAACATGTCGGTTTATTAAATAACTTTTATGTTAGCAAGTGTACTACCAGGGTTAGCAGTGGATATAGGACATAGACTTTCAAGCCCTGCTAAATCTCCTTAATAAAACTATCGAGGGCAAATTACTTTCCTTCAAATTAAAAACACCTAATTACATTTCACTTTTATCGGAGGGTTTTGAAAACTATAGGAGTAAATCTATTGCTCTTAACAATGCAAAAATTCCCGATTTGTATCCCGTACCTAATCTTCAGGGTTTTATTTGAGCTATTTTCGGCAAAGCGATTTTCTCGACGATTGATCTGGTGCGTGCTTTTCATCAGATTCCGGTCGCACCAGAGGATATCCCAAAAACTGCCATTACCACAACCTTCGTTCTCTTCGAATTCATCGGCATTCCATTCGTTCTACGTTATGCCACCCAAACGATCCAGAGGTTTATCTGCCATGTCGTACGTGGCCTACCCTTTATTAACGTTACATCTATGAATTCTTGGTGGCCAGCTGTAATGAGAATGAACACAAAAAGCATCTTGCCTTGGTATTTGACCGCCTTTGAAATTTGGCGTTTTCATCAAATCCTCCAACTGAATTCTAGGTGCGCCTTCGCTCGAGTTCCTCGGCCATCGTGTCGACGTCGAAGGTATGTATCCCCTCCCCTCCAAGATTGAAGCAATTCGTGATTTCCCTCAACCAACTACCAAGCGTCAGTTGCAGCGATTCTTTGGCATTTTTTTGCCGTCGGTTCCTACCGAGCTGTGCTGGCATTTCCTTCAAGGTTGGGGCATCACTGTTTTCACGAACCACAAGCCGCTGACTTTCGTTTTTCGTTCCTACTCCTACAATCCGAAAAAGATCGCCCTCCTGGTCTACATTTTCCCGCTCACCAACGACGTCCGCTACATTGTTGACACGAAAATTGCGATGGCAGATATGTTGTATAGGCCCTCACTATTTTCTATCCATCTCTCACACCGGATCAACCTTGGCTCCATGGCGGCTGTACAACAGCGAGTCCGTTGTCCTGACGACGAGTCTGTTAGCGGTCCCCAACTCGAAGACGATCATCTGAACACCGGCTCTGATAGCATGCTTTGTGCTGTCTCGACTCCGTTTCATCGGCCTTTCCTGCCCGTCTCGATGCGTCGATCTGCGTTTCAAACTCTGCATAGACTCTCCTACCCTCAGATTCGAACCTCTCAAAAATTCCTTGCGGAAAAGTTCATCTGGCCTGGCATGAAGAAAGACGTCGAAGCTTGGTCCGGTAGTGTCTGAGCTGTCAGCAAAACAAGGTGCAACTTCACAACAAGTCCCCGCCTGACACTTTTTCCAGCCTCAACGCACGTTTTAATCATTTGCACCTGGATGTCGTACGCCCCTGGTCTCCATCTGATAGCTTTAATCAGCTTCCTTTCTGTGTTGCTAGGCAGACCTACTGGGTTGAATTTATTCCTTTTCCGAACGTGCCGGCTGAGACCTTTGTGAAGACTTTCGTCTGTCGTTGAGCCGCCATGTTTGTTGCGCCCACCATGGTTACAAATGATCATGTTGCCCAATTAGCGTATACACACTTGCACATGCTCTTCAATTATCTTGGCTGCAAACGCATTCGCACGACTGCCTACCAGGCAGTTGCCACCGGTACGGTTGGGTGTTACCATTGCTTGCTAAAGACCGCCCTGCGTGCGGCAGGAGACACGGAAAACTGGTTAGACAAACTTTTCCCTGCTCTCCTGAACTTTCGCTCAGCTGTGAAGTCGGATTTAGACTGTAGTGCAGCTGAAGTTTTTCGGCACTACCCTCTGACTACCAGGCGAGATGATCAGGCCAACCTCCTGTGGTGCCGACGAGGCCCCTGACAATTGTGTACATCGTATGCGGCAATTCATGTCTCGCTTTCCCCTGTTCTGCCTCGAACATCAACGATCCAATCTTATCTTGGTAAAGGCCTGGACACCTGCACTCATGTGTTCGATCGTTCCGTATGCTCACACTCAACACCTAGATCTGCGGGATGCTTCGCGGTAACAAGGAGGATGTGGTCTCTGTCGCAGAGGAGGCGCTGGACCTGATTCAAAGACATTACTGTGCGGACCGCATACCCCTCTTACTTCCCATCTCATACTCTTTCACCTTCCCAACGCAATCCTGGCCCAATTCCCTCCACCGCCTCCGACTCTAACTCTAACAACGCCACTGGCATTTGCACCACACGAAGTGGCCGTCGCGTCCACTTTTCGGACAGCCTTATTAATCAAGTTTGTTAACATTGCATTTGCTTTCTGCGTCATTTTGCGCCGGCCTCCGTTATAGGCGTGGGTACTGTAATATCTACCTGTCATATTTTATTTATATGCTGCCTTTTGTAGTTATTCTACTTGCTAGGCATTTTCTAGACTCGCATTCATCCATTATTTTCTAAGTTGTTTTTTTTTTCGTTCGTTTTCGTTTGATCAACTAACTTTTCACCCATTGCCTATGTTCTTCTCTGGGTGGGGTTGGTAGTTAAGTACGTTATTATGAGACAGTTTGTTGGGCTTTTCTCAACGTTGTCATTGAGTGGGATCGAGTTATCACTTAACTAGTTCGCTAAAGGCTTCTGTATCTAACTTGTTGAATTTCATGTCTTGAGGTAGCGTTAGTAAACAACTTGACCGAAATTGAATTGAACACACAGATGACGCCTGACCTCGTTGCAAACTGGATAATACTTTGGCCATACGCAAGGCTTGCCCTATTTATAGCGGTTTCGAATTACAGCAGGTCGCCAATCTTTTTTACATTTTAATCAAATGAATCATTCAATCTTGCTTAAATCTTTTAATTACTTGAGCCTGGCAGTTATCCGGTAGATTGCTCATTGCGGACGTAGGCAATGCTGGTTGGGCAATAAGCTTACTGCATCTGATTTAGTGGATACAATTTCTTGCTGACGCTGAGCTGGCATTTTTTATCCAAACATGATTTACTTTTCGGCTGCAGGCTGTTCCTTGGCGGTTCTCTAGACTTTCCACTTTTTTCGCGGGTTAAAATGCATCTATGTCAGCTGCATTTCGACAAACTGATTGGATGAATTATTTAAATTTGTCAGGGACACCAGTCAATTACTTGACAATTGCAGTAATTTGGAGAATTCTAGATTGAATTCTTATAAATAGCTGCTAGTTCAGTTGGTTGCCCCTATCAGATTTTGTGGAACCTGTACGCTTTATTGAGCCAGTTGGCAAATTTGATCAATTGATGATTAAACTGGCAGCTTTCTGTGGTGCTTCCTAAATGGTTTCTGATAACGCTTTAAGATTTCTTACATTTTAACAACTGAACTGCCTGAGGATTTGCTCTTTCGAGGTACCACTCACATGTCTTTCTGTGAGGAGTTAAAAAGTGAAATATTCCATACATAAATGTGGGACTAATTAACAAGCCAACTCTCAGCCAAGCGGAAGCAAATCAAATGAATAGCTAGTTCGTTGAGTGTGGCGCAAGCGTTGAGGGCAGGGAATGTTTATGATACATTATTGACTCTTGACACTTATAAAAACTAAAATATCTGCCTCAGTATTAAAACTGAAAGTGACATTCGCAGACCTTTATCTGCGAATGTCTCTGATGATGGACTCGAGTGAGAATCTGAAACGTCATGCCAATAGATTTCTTGTTCAAGTGATCGCATCTTCATCTTCTGAACTTAAGGTGGCATTAAAATGTTCCATTTATCGCTCGGGCACAGCGCAAAAACAGTGCAGTAGGCGTTCTAACCCCTTAAATTCTAACTGAAATCTGAATGGTGGTTTAGTTTCGAAATGTTTACTTAAAATGTTTATTTAAAATTAATCATCATACAGTGAAATTTTGTAATAATTGATTTACATCGAGATGTCGGATTTTAAACGAACTTCCTTTCCGCCGCATGCAAAAGCCAAACTCTGTAAAACTCACTACTTAACTACCGTGCCTTCTTCTTATTGAATTTGATGCTCTTAAATTCAATCATACTTCATAGTGAAGATGCAACACATATTAATACTTTCGGGCATTTGGTAGAAAAGCTACTTATTACATTTTTCTTCTCAGTGAAAAGGCATACTGCCGTTTTCAAAAAGTTTTTTAATTCGCGACCTGCCGTTACACTTGCATACAGAGTTTCCAAACTACAAATCATATATAATCCACGTAGGCAAAACCGCACATTTATCGTCAGTATTAAATAAGGCAATATGGCGTTCATAAAATATTGCAGTTGGTTTGAGCCATATGTTTAACGTTACAAGTCACATTAGCAAATATATAGACATGAAATTTAATGAAAGGGCATTTTATGGGGCAATAAAGCATAATCAGAAAATTTTAAAATCGAATTATACCAACAATTGTTTTGATGAACTACCTGCAGTCCCCGAATCAGAGGTGAAAAAATTGAGACGTCGAAATAGCCCATTTGCCAGTCCATAGACAGGAAAGTCATTACCGGTACGATCAGTCGGATGGAGTCGCACACTTTTTGCACTTTTTGGGACCGTTGAATAGAACCAGGGCCACTTCTGGCACCATCTCCATCGACGTTATTGTACCTGAGTTCGTCATTGTCAACAATATCGCGTTGATCTAGCGTGTCTGCTTTATCATGTGTTTGGATACACACGGAGAGTACGGGGGTAGGATACGTCTAAAGCCACTTACCAGATCTGGTGCAGTTGCTGACAGAGCAACTACTATGGAGAAAATAGGAGATTACTCCTTGTGTGTGTGTTCTCAGGTAAGCCGAGCTTGGGATTTGACATGACCAGCATGTGAGGTGAGTGACGTTTCCGTGGCCAGTTCATTGAAAATTCAAAAGAGTATGGGATGATAGACTCTTTCATTCTCGTGTCGGATTAGATAAACATCCTGTAGAATTGTCTTTTATAACCTCGGCTACATTCCTACTAATGATTTCAGCGTCCTCTTTCTGCCCACTTTATTTTCAATGCCCACGCCGTGCTAACAATTTGGAACCGGACAGTGTAATTGATCCTTACCGAATATTCATCTGTTAATACGGACATGGAGACCAAGTGAAACACGACGGGAACGTACTGCAGAACGGTCTTGCTTACCGTGCGAGGACAGAAAATTTTCACGGAATAAGTTGAAAGTAAATGTGTTCAGGGTGACTGGAGCTCTTTCTTACATGTGGAACCTACATTCCTCACCTTACTAAGTTAGTTAAGAACGAAAACGAAGTAAATATCATTTTATAGGTTTGCGAAGTTCTTGAAAACAGTGCAATGCCTTATTCGAAACCGCTCAAAACGCTTCGTAAGTATTGTTGCTTGCTTTGTATGCTGAACTACTGAATGCTGATTTGACAAGCAGCATGTGATGAAGCATAAGTGCAAACCGATCCTCAGTCAGCCGGGAATATTTTGGGGGTCAGCATAACCTGAGTAGTCTGGCTGCATCGACCCATACAGAACTCTGCAAATTGGAATTCACTGACCTCAGTCAGACAAGTTACTCAAGCCCTTTTCCAAAAAGACCAACGACCTTGACATACATGTCCACGCAAAGCACCATGGCATCGTTTGTCGCAGCATTCATGAAACGTGCTGTAGCACATGGGGAGACATTGGCATCAGCATAACTCCGCTGGCGTCATTCAATTTTAATATGATATTTCCTATTCGAACTGCCCCATCGGTTAGCCACATTTGATAGTATTTGGCATCTACTTTTAATTCTCATTTTATGTACTTTATAGTGAAAGTAATCATAAGGGGCACTGAGTGATGATGATGGTGGTGATTATGATGATATGCCAGACCTTCATCCAGTTGACGGAATTGCGTACACAGATTCTCTAAACACGAACCGATTTTGGAGTGTTATGGGGCGCTCACCGATCGTTCATACGGAACTCACTCGTTCCGTTGTGCCTTAAGGGCTCTCTCTCGAGCCAAACCAGCAGCCGCACAGTGGCGCATGATATATAGGCAGAATAGCATTACCGACAAAGACAAGGGAGACTGGAATGGCCATTTCTGGCTTATTAGCCGTCGTCAGCCAGCCATACCCAAGCCCGAATTCTGGAACACCCGAGCCTCGAACTCGCGACCTGTTGGTTTAGAAGTCAACGCCTCTACTCACCGGGCCACGAGCCCGTTGCCTTGTAGGTTTTCGATCGGGAATATACAATGTTAGGGGGCGCTCACCGATCGTTCATACGGAACTCACTCGTTCCGTTGTGCCTTAAGGGCTCTCTCTCGCGCCCAACCAGCAGTCGCACAGCGGCGCAT